CCATGTTGAAACTATATCAACCCACATGAGATTAGTAGAAACAGTGGTCACAGATTCTCAAAGAAAAGCATACTTGGATTCCTTGTCAGAGAGGATGCACCAGTCAAATTCTAGCATTAGCTCAAACCGACCACATAAACAGCATGCTTTGAGACTTGTTGATAACTTGATATAAACCGTTACTTGAGAATGATTGCACTGAACTTCAGATTATACCCAAATGAATTCTCATCAACTCGTTATTGCTTCTCTAGTAGTCATTGCAAGGTGTGCCTGCAACATATATTGTTTGTTGGTTGCACAGAACGTTTTGCTAAATTTTATGGTGTACAGATAAAGACAGAGAGTGGTGCAAAAGCAAAACTTGAGAAAACTGGGATATACAAGAAGTGGAAAGAACGTTCACACAAGAGAGTATCTCTTACAGGAACTAATGAAGGGAATGCTGAGGATTCCACAGGTAATGCTCTCTCTGAAGTTCATGTACTTTTCTGTTGTTTCTCCTAAGTGCGATTGATCTGTTTTTTTGTTTAACACTTGTTAGATTCTCACTCAGTTCATCCGAGCTAGCATCTTTCTGTGTCTCGTTTTACTTATTCGCAGTTTTCATGTCTCTTTGCAGGTAACCGTAGATGGCAGGGGAAGGGTAAGTCTTTCGGAGGCAGGAAGCAACACTCTGTGCCTAATGCTCATGTGCGTTCTGAAATCAAAGACTTGGAACAGGTTCGCAAGGAGCGACAGAAAAAGGCCGACAGGGTCTCTTATATGAAGAGCAAGTCGGCCAAGGGCGGTAAAAAATTTGGTAAAAATGGTAAAAGAGGAAAGGGAAAGAGGTAAACAAGAGTTGCCTAATATGAACACGTCTTATGAGTTTTCCCTTTGCTCCTTCGGTAAAATAATTATTAGAGCACCTACTTATTAACTTCAAGCAATTTTTTTACTTCTTTCATAGGACGGATGATAAGTATTAAGTAATGACTTGTTTTGTAGAAATACTTTCCATTTATTTGCTTTTCAGTCTTTGCTTGTACTTTCTAATTTTAGTTGTAACAGTATCTCTGCCTTAAGTGCACTTACCAACGTAATGTAAGGGGCTTGTAGCTCAATTAGTTGAAAGCATTTATCTTTGACCCGAAGGTCAGACTTTGATTCTCCCTCCAAAAAGTATAAGTTCTAAATTCAGTCACCCAAAAAAAAATAATGGAAAAATAAAAAAACCATATCCGATTTGTTCAAAGAGCATCTCCAATGAAAATGCGAAAATGTCTTGGAATTGGCATATTTTATATTTTTGGTTGGCCGGAAAGTTCTCTAATAGGCGGAATGTAAACACCTATCTTGTTCGGAAATGTGAATAATAATATAAATTTAACATATATTTTTATCTAAGTCTTTAATTTGGAGTATTATCTTTTTTCTTGGTTTAAGCTACACACATTTCGGTTGTTTGGTGACATTTAACTTCCAATAAACCCAGTTCAAGTAGTTCACCTCATCCAAAATTTAAAAGAGAAAAAATGGCTGTAAAATTTTGAGTCGTTTATCATTCCGTCTAATTGATGATTACCATCCTATCCTTCACCAATCTGCTTATTGGTGTGACACGATGATGAAAAACAACATTGTGAGGAAAAAAAAAGTGCAAGAAGGAAAAGGAAAAGAAGGAACAAATAGAGCTATAGATTCCACTTTTCAGAGATCAATATTAGCTTATCCTTTCCAAAAACTGGAACACCTCTAACATTTGCAACAGAGAAACTTGAGATGGTTTGGATAATGATATTTTTTCTTTTTTTATCAAACGATATATTTTGTTAAATTAGCTATTAGATTAGCCATTGACGGGGTTTGAATCCATGTCGTCATGCAAAGGCTTAACATTTTTCCACCACTATGGTAAAGAGCCACTTGCGGTTTGGATAATGATTCAAAATCATACAAATTTGTGGTTTGATTTGTCATGTGATCAATGACACCTGAGTCTGTAATTCTTAAATTCATGCATGAGACAAACATTGAGGACAGTTGAGAGGGCATTCAAAAACCTGGAATCTCTTCAGGTGCATGGTACACCATCAGTTTCAACTAAGAATCCTACAAATTTGCCGATAAGCGCAGTTCAATTGTCACTATTTCCACAAGCACCAGTCATACTGCACTGTCACCACCCCGCTTTTGCTTTTGTTGAAGATAAGCTGCAAACTGGGTTCGCCGACAAACAAGCCGGGAAGTATAGTGGAGGTATGACGAGAAGGCTTACTGTCACAATTTCCCTGATTGGGGATCCCAAAGTATGCCTTGATTACTCTTGATCACTGTTAAAGCTACTTGTACTGCCACTTAGTACTACGGTCTAGTGGTATTTATTTCACTTGTAAGTGAGAGGTCATAGGTTCGATTCTCGTCAAAAACAAATTTGAACCACATTATTATGGCTAACTTGCTGTGAGGCTTAGCCCACTCACCCACCTCCTTCGTATAGACGATATTGTTTGTTCTTAAAAAAAAAGCTACTTGAGTTGTATGTTTACCGGAGTCTTCGTTGAAAAGTAGATTTTGTTGTGTACATGGATGAGCCCAGTAGTGGACTTGATCCAGCTTCAAGAAAACATCTACGGAATATTGTCGAGTGGGCAAAACAAGACCGCGCAATTGTCCTGACCAGTTCTCTCTCTCTCTCTCTCTCTCTCTCTTTTCTTTGTTAATGTATTATCAATGATACTTTAAGGTACTTAAAGGATTTTGACGTTCTCTGTAATTCACTTATAAGCTTGTGTGCATATCTTCAGCACTTTCCATGGAGGAGGCAGAGTACATACGTGATCGACTAGGAATTGTCACAGACGGCACACTGCAGTGCATAGGAAATCCAAAGGAGGTAAGTATGAACTATTAAGGCTGTGTTTGGTTGCAACTTGCAAGTTTGTCGAATCACTTTTACCCGCATCAGATTGTATACATCTTCACCACTCACATCTAGTAGTTTATCAATGATTCCAGTCGGGTTTAATATTGACATTTTACATCCAATTACCTGACGAAATTTTTTGATTGTAAATTCTAAATCGATGAAACTGGCGTAACACTTTGAAGTTGGTTTGACAGCTGCAGGCCGGATATGGAGGATCGTATGACTTAGCGATCACAACAACTTGGGATCATGAACAGGAAGTGGAGGACATGGTCCGAACTCTCTGCCCAAATTCGAACAAGGTTTACCAGCTGTCGGGGACACACAAGTTCGAGCTGCCAAAGAGTGAGGTAGGTAAGAGTTTGCACAAGTATTCCAAACAGTGGAGAATGCGGTTCACGGTTTTTGCACGGGGTCTGGCTGATAGCCTGATACTACTTGGGAGGATGTTTTTATCAAGGTTGCAAGTGGATCCAACACTTGAATCTATTCAAAGGTTTAAAGCATGATTGTTAGAGTTTAATATAGCCTTAGTTCTTGCTAGGGCTGGAAAAAAAAAACCGAAAATCCCAAACCATACTGAAACCATACCGATCCCAAATTGTTTGGTATGGGATTTGATCTCACGCTTTGAAATAATTCGGTATTCTAGTACCGAACCGAACATTACTAATATTACATATATATATATATATATATCTAATATTAGAAAGTCAGAAGTCAAGTATGGTGCCTTAAGGCTTCACCAAAAATAATTGGACTAAAAAGCCCCTCAAACAAAAAATTCAAAAGCTGGCCGAAAATAATGAAAACAAATTCGCATGGATAATTTGGTCATAAAAATTTGAAAAACTAGAAATTAGAAAGTAAATTGTTGGAAAAGTTTTTAAAAAAAGGAAAAAAAAAGGGATGGATACATGATGAACCTCCAATTGCACTATACTACCACTTCGCGAAAGAACGGTTTTTCCTCCTGATTAAAAAACATGAAACCGTTCTTATGCAGAATCTTTTGGGAATAGGGGCGTGCAGAAAGCTGAGGATATTTAATCTGTTTGTTAGTGATAATTGAGATGACATTATGGTTGGTGTTGCAGGACGAATAAGTGGCTGTCCGGCATGATCTGGATGAGATTGTCCCTTTCCCCAGTCAGTCCAGTCCGAAAGGGAATGGTCTGGATTGCATTTCGGGAGTTTTATCACCATTCCATTTCAACCAGAAATACAACCCAGCCAAAGGTATCTAACCTGCCTTCCTTATGAGTTGAAATCCAATTCCGTTTTGTCCCCTTTGCAGCTTATGCCAGCGGAGGCTAAACCAAGGAGGGTGGATTTATTTGTCAGTTAGCATGAGGGATCACAGGTATAATTTGATATCCACAAATATCTAAAACATTTTTTTATACAAGGGGCAAAAGGATGTAATATACTAACTATGTATATCAGTGTATGCGTAGCGTTTCTCTTTTGTTTATCGGAAAGCAATATTATACATATACTAAAACCCAAACTCCCGGCACTGTTTTTCACTGTTTGTGAACAGTGAAAGGACGGAAATGCCCATGATTTCTTCTCTGCTTGCCGTGCTGTTTCATTTTTCTACAGTACTAAGGCCCCGTTTGGGATTGAGGTGATTTTAAAAAAAGCCACTGTGAAAAAAAGCTGATGGTCATTTTTGTGTTTGGTAAACTGAAAAAAAAGGGCTTATTTTGGAAGCTGCTGTGAGAATAAGCTGAAAATCAAAGGAAAAGCTGAAGCTGCTATTTGCTGCTTTGAAAAAAAGCCAGTTTTTTCAAAGCACACGGAGCTACAGTGCTCCTTTAATGAAAAGACACACTATCATCCTGATTTTTTTTCCAAAAGCACTTTCACAAAAAAGTTTACCAAACACTCTACTGGCTTTATTTCACAGCCGCTTATTCTCACAGCACAGCCGCTTATTCTCACAGCAGCTTTTTTTCAAAGCACAGCAATACCAAACCAGCCCTAAAACTCAACCCCCCTGGTCACTATGGATGACCAGTGGGCGGACGGTTTGCCCCTCCGTTTTATATCGATTTCCCTTGCTGCTCCCCGCGTCCTCATCGTGCAACTTTCGTTGGATTTTCTTCCTCCTATAGTGTTATACACGTGTTGCTCATCGTGGAAGGGAAGAAACATGGAAAAGCGGGCTCTTCCATTTGCTTCCACAGATTTCTCGAGCTCTCTCTCAAGCTCCGAATCGCTGGCCTCCGCAAGAAGGTATTTGTCTCTCACTTTTTTTTTTCAATTCGAATTTTGTTTGAATGAATGTTGGATCTGTTGCCTTCGGGAAGAAATTTTAACATAGAAAAGCTTGATTTTCAGGAAATCGCCAATTTGAAAGCTTGGTTTCCTGGTGAGTTCTACGACATATTTGTTGAAATTTTTGTGATTTTAATTTTAAAAATCTGGGTTTTTTTGTTCAATGGTTTGCTCCATCTTCTTAGCTTTCTCACTAGAGATCTCTGCCATGGCTGCTCCACCAAACTTGCGTCCGCTCTTTCGAACCAGGTACAACTTCTTTCATTTTCTTTTGTTTCTGGGAAAATTTAGGGCTTGAAAATGTGTAGAATTGTAGAAGTTAAAGCCTGTCTCAATCTCTATGTTGGTCTATACACAATGAAATTGAATTTTGTGTTTCAGCATACCCTTACTGGAATTTTATGATTTGGGATAGTGGCGATTTGAAACCGTTAACTGGGATGAGAATTAGAGTGATTTGAAAACGGAGAGCAAGGAATTGCAGGTGGGTAGTGATAAATGATAATGGTGGGGATACTATGATGATAACACAAATTCTCTATTTTGCACAGAGTTTTGAAAGTTGTTTTGAAATTCCTTATTTTACTTGAATGTATTAGTGCTTGCTTTTGCTTTCACCCAGGTATCAAATTCGGTTTTGTTTGTATGGTAACATGGATTGCTCAGGTTACGTAGGAGAGGATGGAGGTGAGAAATACAATTGGGAAAGATATGCTGAGAGGTTTACAAAACACCTTTGAAGCTGTCGGTGAGGATTCTTCTTTTTAAAAGTAGGAATTTTTTAATTTTTCGTGGAATCGATGTTTTGTTTTTGACTGAGTTTATAAAGGATTGCTTGGACAAGTACAGGGTGTTTGGGATTGAAAGGTTGGGAGAGGCCACATATGGGTTCAGAGAGAATATTTTTTTTTTAATCTCTATACGTGCAATTCCCTCTACATTAGAGGATATTTTCATATTATTTTGCACATAATTTTATTGAAGGGTTTGTGTATAAAGGTTTCATTAATGGGGATTTCTATGCAATGACTACTTGGGATTGAAAGGTTGTTCCAGCGTTTATTTTAAACTTACTGCAATGACTGTTTGCAAATTTACAAAATTTGTGTTTAATTTCAGTAGCTTGAATGGAAGATGCAATTCCAACACCTATCAATCAGGTACAACTGTATAAAAAGGCAACAAAGATTAAAGTCCACGTGTGTAGAATGTGGAGACCGAGAATTTCAGGAACGACTGATAAAATTACAAGTCTGCACTGTATACTGGTTGACAAAAGGTGAGCAATCATTATGTAATGATTTTAATTAATAAACCATTAGTTTTGCCCATTGAAAATTGTCGGAATAAGTTAAAGATAGGGGTCACCAAATCATACTATTTTCGTTGCTATTTATTTCCTTGCTGAACATGATGAAGTGAATCTCTTCATTTGCATTCTTGCATTTAAATTTGCATGTCAGTTTATGGTAAATAATATTCAATTTTCATTGTCTTAGATTCTACTGAGTTGCAGTTTTATCATCTATTTATAAAACCCATTTAGACTCACAATTTTTTTGTGTGGTAAAACATAAACTGAAACATTATGTATATCCAAGATTGAAGAAGAAATTTAAGTTAAATTAGACGGTCATCCAATACTACGGGTGATGTTGTCAGGGTTGTAACCATATCAGTAGTCGATTTTATAAATAAGGTGAAATACAAGACTAACCCAACGGGTATTATAAAATAATGTAGAACTACTTTTTTCTCTCTCTCGGTACTCAACATATCATTCCTCACTTGGCCAAAAACGATAGATTATCCCTCATGATGTGCTTTCCATGTTTGAATATTTTGTTCATTCAGTGTCAAGTGTTTTCTTTTTGTGTATAAGAATATCTCAGGTACTCATTGTTTTTTCTTTACTGTAGGTGGTACAATAGTTCTATCCGATGATGGTCGCTATTTTTCAAAGGATGCTGTGGAATTTCAAGATTGAAAACCGCTGGCTTTCAATCTTTTAAAACAAATTACCTTTGTAAGGTATCAAAACTATAATTTTTCTATATAGCAAATAATTTTTTTCCTTCACTATGGTAATTTTGTTTAGATTAATTAATGTTATAGCCGACCCCACTTAGTGGGAAAAGGCTTTGTTGTTGTTGTTGTTGTTGTATTAATTAATGTTACACTGATACTAACTCAAATTTATACACTGCTATAAGATCAATTTGTAATCCCGCAGCAACGCGCGGGCATTACTAGCTAGTATATTACTAATTGTAAAGGTATGTGATCAAATATGTTTGATGACGCTGTCATTCGGTGGTTTCACTGTATCTATTGGTGGTGTTTGGTTACTCATTGTGCAAGACATTAAAAGTGATGCATCTTCGGTGTTAAGGCATCTATGGTGTTAAGGCCTTTGGATTCCATTCTTTGTTTACATTCCTTTGGAGAAGATCAGATATGGTATGTGCAATTTTCAAAGTATGCTCTATTTCCACTAAAGTATATTGGTGTGTTTTCACTGCAGTTTCACTAATGAAAGAACCCATGGAGCGTTGTTCAACCCATTTGTTGGGGCATGTTAGCAGTGAAGACAATCAAAGCCCAATTTATATTAGTAGGCGGTGGGTTAGTTAAGAGTGTATGGAAAAAAGAAGTAAAATTGGACTACCATAGTAGATAGTACCACATATTCGTGTAACTAAAACATTTGAGTTATTACATATTGGTTGCAAACCTTATGATACATTATATATTGGATTAAGGTTGTAGACTTCGTATCGTTTAATGACATTTGTTTGTAAACCCTGCTGGGAAGAAATCTCTTCATTTGAATTGACTTGCACTTATTTTTCCTATAATTTTTTTTTCTTGGTACCAGACTTTTGATGAAACTTACAGTTTATGAATTGATTGTAGAATGTTAATTATGTTGTTTTCTTAATTTCTACAATTATAGACTTTGGTAATCTCATTGCATTTAGTGTTGAAATATCCAAAAAAAAAAAAAATAAATAAAACAAACTGATGATGAATTATATGAGGCTACCGAAGACAAGAGCTGTAGTTTTGAAGGAGCAGTATAAAACAAATGGTTAGGTTTTATTTGTTTTTAAGGTGTGCTAGCCATTTTAATCAATTTAAAACGTTTTTTCTTTGATTTAGGGGCTATCACGATACTTTTAGGGTATTAGTGTTAGGTTTCGTTTAATGATTCCATTACTTAATTGTTTTAAATTTCAACTTTAGTTGTATTGCTAAAAGTTAATTTGATTACTAAATTACTTTGTAGAAACAAATTCACAAGAGCTAAGAGGATACTAAGAAGCAAAGACTTACAACGTACATAGTGACTTAAAATAGTCTTACTATTACTCTCTTTGTTTCTCTTCCATGTTTTGTTGTATGTTTAACCGTTCTTTTGTGTTAATAATTTGCGTAGATGCATATACATGTTCGTAGAGATTTTACAATTAGTTTGTTTGTATATGTACGTACAACTATTTTCAAACATTCTCACAATGCAACAGGATCGTTTCATACTTTGGGTAATAAAAGTTGATCCCTTAATTAAAAAATGAGATGCACGCCAAACATTTGGTTTTTATTTTATTTTATTTTTTCTTTGAGCGAAGCCAAACATGTGGTTTGGACATACATAAAAGATCGTTAGGGCGCGTAGTGCCCGTGATAATAAAAAAGGCGCGCGTGTAAAGAGGCTAGTATATCTTTAATATTAGAAAGCCAGAAGACAACTTTAGTGTCTCAAAGTTTCACAAAAAATAATTGGACTAAAATAACACTCAAACAAATAAAAAAAAAAAACACTAAAACTGAATGAAAATAATGCAATCAAAACAGCAGGGGTTCTTTTGTCAAAAAACATAAATTTATAATTCATTTTATTGAAAAAAACCCAACGTTAAAAAAAAGAAAAGAAAAAAGAACGTGGTAAACACTCAAATAGAGGACGATAGATAAACTGCCAAAGCTAGAGATAGAAGCAGTTTTCTCCAACGATTCCACGTTATGCAGGGACGATTGGAAACCGCTGTACGTTTCCGCAAATTTCTCCGATTTCATATTCCCTTTTAATCAGATTTCCTCGGTTTTCCAAAATCTCATCGTCTCTCAAGATTATGTGTGTGTTGGAATGTGTTATAGGTTAGTATTATCAGGACCGTCTCTGAGATTTCGGAGGTTCTATGCGAAATTCATAAAAGGGGCCCTTCTTATTGTTAACTATGATCAATCTTATACAGTAAGGAAGAATAAGAATGTAACAGACTTAGAGAGAGAGAGAGAGAGAGAGAGAGAGAAAGAACTTAGAGAGAAGATGAATATCACTGATATATTTTCTTAACTTCCAAGTAATACAGTGTTGAGGTATTTATAGTCTTGCACTTTACACAGCTAACTTCCTTAACTAACTTCTTTCTCTAATCTAATTACAAGTGGCAACATCTTATGCACCAATATCTAATATCTCTATTCTATCATCCCCTCGCAAACACATGATTCGATGCACGAAGCATGAGATTGGTACAGTGAGTACGAAACAGAGGAGAACTCAACCCTTTAGTCAAAATATCAGCAAACTGCTCTTTAGAGGACACAAACTGAACAGAAAGTTGTTTCTTGGCAACACGTTCTCTCACAAAATGAACATCAACCTCGATGTGCTTAGTACGTTGATGTTGAACCGGATTAAAAGCCAAAGCAATGGTGGACAAATTATCACAAAATAACACCGGAGGTGATGGAAGAGGAACCTGCAAAAAGACTAACAGTTGCTGAATCCAGTCTAATTCAGCGGAAGTAGAGGACAAGGCTCGATATTCCGCCTCCGTGGATGAGCGAGAAACTGTCAATTGTTTCTTTGATGACCAGGATATAGGATTGTTGCCTAAAAACACAGCCATGCCAGTGGTAGAACGCCTATCATTAGGGTCACCTGCCCAATCCGCATCACTAAAGGCTGTTAAGTGCAGTGGTCCTTGTGAATAAAAGAGGCCATGATGAATGGTACCTTTTAGGTACCTCAAGATGCGTTTGACAGCAGTGAAATGAGCAATCATAGGCTGTTGCATGAATTGACAGACTTGATGGACAGAAAATGCTATATCCGGCCTTGTGAATGTGAGGTACTGCAATGCACCTACTACACTCTTGTACAACGTTGGATTGTTATAAGGAGCACCATCATCTTTGAGAAGGCGGTTATAGGGCAAACAGGGAGTCTCACATGACTTTGACTCAAGCATCTCAGTTTTAGTAAGAAGATCCAAAATATATTTGGATTGAGACAAACATAAGCCATGTGCAGTGCGAGAGATTTGAATGCCCAGAAAGAAATGCAGATCCCCCAGATCCTTGATATCAAATTCCTTGGTTAAAGCACTAATGACCTGTTGCATAGCTGCAGCTGCATTCCCTGTGATAATAATATCGTCCACATAAAGCAACAAGATGACAATACCAGAGTCAACTGTCTTGACAAACTGGGAGGAGTCAGAATAAGTATGTTGAAAACCCAAAAGAGGCAAGAACTTGGTAAATCTGTCATTCTAAGCTCGAGGGGCTTGCTTAAGTCCATAGAGGGACTTGTGCAACTTGCAAACAAGGTGAGAAGTGGCAACATCAGCAAAACCAGGAGGCTGGGTCATATACACCTCTTCATCCAAAATGCCATGTAAAAAGGCATTCTTTACATCTAGTTGCCTAAGGGGCCAATTAAATTGAGCTGCCAAAGCCAATACTAGGCGAACCGTGGTAGGTTTAACCACAGGATTGAAGGTTTCCCCATAATCAAGACCCGGCTCTTGACTGAACCCTTTAGCAACAAGCCGAGCTTTATGGCGAGCAATAGTGCCATCATAATGTTTCTTGATCTTGAATATCCATTTGCAACCGACCAAGTTCTTTGTAGAAGGAAGACCACCAAACTCCAAGTACCTTGTTTATGTAAAGCACAGATCTCCTCTTGCATAGCTTTCAACCAAGTAGGATCCTTCATTGCAGATTTATAAGAAGTAGGTTCAATAAGGGACAAATCAGTGCAAGCAGACTCCTGAATAGTAGCTAATAAAGCTTTGGTCTTGATAATTCCACTTTTGCTCCGAGTTTGCATAGGATGCAAATTGAGAGGTGGAACCTCCAACACCACTTGCAAAGTATCAGGACCAAAGGAGGCTGCTGGAGAATCATCAGAACCATTGACAAGTGCCACAGGGACAGAGACTGGAGAATGAGAATTGGAAGAACCAGTAATGGATGGAAAAGATAGGGGTGAAGAAGGAATATGAGAGATGGATATGGGAGAAGAAGCAGGTGATGATGAAAAGGAAGGATTGGTATGAGAGGATGGTGAGCTAGAGGATGAATGAGACACAGGTAACACAACATTGTCATTAGAAATCACAGGTGCGGGAAGTGTGAAAGTAGGAACTGAAGAAGATTGATATGAGTTTTTAGAGGGGACCAACAAAGATGTGTAAGGAAATTGATCCTCATCAAACACAACATGTCTAGAAATATAAACGCGCTGTTTAGAAACCTCATAACATATATACCCTTTATATTTGGTAGCATACCCCAGAAAAATACACTTGGTGGTCTTGGCTTGTAATTTAGTAGCATTATAAGGCTTTAACAAAGGATAGCATGCACAACCGAATATTCGGAGATGAGAGATAACATGAAGATGACCAAACAAAAGTTCAAAAGGAGATTTATGTCCTAGCACAGAAGAAGGCATTCGATTAATGAGGTAGACAGATGTTTGACAAGCATACGACCAAAAACTAGCAGATAACCTAGCTGTTTGTAATAGGGTCATAGTGGTTTCAATAACATGCCTATGCTTTCTCTCGGCTAGACCATTTTGCTCGGGTGTATGTGGGCAAGAAAGTTGATGAGTAATTCCCTTATTAAGAAGAAAGGACTGAAAAGCCTTACTGACATACTCACCCCCTCCATCACTCTGTAAGGTTTGAATAGCAGTGGCAAACTGAGTAAGAACAAATGAATAGAATGCAACAAACGTAGCAAAGACATCAGATTTGTTGATCAATGGAAACAACCAACAATATCTTGTATATTCATCGATAAAGGTCACATAATAGCGGTAACCATCAATGGAAATAGAAGGAGCTGGACCCCAAAGATCACTATGAATAACAGCAAAAGGTTTTACAGACTTATTGGTACTTAGGGAAAATGGAAGTTTACAAAACTTGCCCTCCAAACAGCTAGAGCACATTACAGGTAATGAAGACTTGGAACAAGGGATATTAGACTGCTTTAACATCAAAGAACCAATGTTATTAGATGGATGACCTAGTCTGTTATGCCAGGTTGTAGAATGAACATGCTGACCAAGGAATGCTTTAGCTTGAAATGGAGCTGAATGTGTAGAATGAGATGTGGCAGAAAGACAAGGGATGGGATAGAGACCATTACTGCATTTTCCTTTGTAAATGATCCTCCCTGTGGCCTTGTCCTGAATCCAGAAGTAGAAAGCATAAAAAATTAGCCAGCAATTATTATCTAAACAGATTTGATGCACAGATAACAAGTTTTGTGTCAACTTCGGAACATAAAGCACATAATTGAGCTTAATCGGATGCACAGAATTCAATTTGGAAACATTGAGAACTGTGCTACCAATATGAGACACAGGCAAACCTTCACCATTGGCAGTTTGGATGGTCTCAGATGTAGGATATGGTGATGCCAAAGATAGGTTACTGAGATCGGCAGTCATGTGATTAGTAGCTCCAGAGTCAGTAATCAACACTTGAGGATTAGAATAAGAAGTAGATGGTGATGATGGT